CCCTGTGTCTCTCATGTCTCTCTCACTCCTCCCTGTGTCTCTCATGTCTCTCTCACTCCTCCCTGTGTCTCTCATGTCTCTCTCACTAATCCCTGTGTCTCATGTCTCTCTCACTCCTCCCTGTGTGTCTCATGTCTCTCTCACTCCTCCCTGTGTCTCTCATGTCTCTCTCACTCCTCCCTGTGTCTCTCATGTCTCTCTCACTCCTCCCTGTGTCATGTCTCTCTCATGTCTCTCTCACTCCTCCCTGTGTCTCTCATGTCTCTCTCACTCCTCCCTGTGTCTCTCATGTCTCTCTCACTCCTCCCTGTGTCTCTCATGTCTCTCTCACTCCTCCCTGTGTGTCTCATGTCTCTCTCACTCCTCCCTGTGTGTCTCATGTCTCTCTCACTCCTCCCTGTGTCTCTCATGTCTCTCTCACTCCTCCCTGTGTGTCTCATGTCTCTCTCACTCCTCCCTGTGTGTCTCATGTCTCTCTCACTCCTCCCTGTGTGTCTCATGTCTCTCTCACTCCTCCCTGTGTCTCTCATGTGTCTCTCTCACTCCTCCTTGTGTCTCTCATGTCTCTCTCATGTCTCTCTCACTCCCCTGTGTCTCTCATCTTATGTCTCTCTCATAATGTCTCTCTAATACTGATAATATACTAAAACAGTCTCTCTCACTACATGATCTGTGTCTCTCATGTCTCTCTCACTCCTGCTTGTGTCTCTCATGTCTCTCTCACTCTCTCCCTGTGTCTCTCATGCAGGTCGGCTCGCTTCAATCGGCGTTCCCCGACCGTCCAAGTGGTTGGGCACTATTCCTTTCCCCCGTCCCATCCCAAATCCTTATCCTGACCCCTTCTATATGCTGTACTGTCGTAATGGCTTGGTGCTTTCCCCCTAATAGTTCCCTTCCCCTTCCAGTAAATATGGCGACGTTGGTCGGTCAACATGTCATGGTGTCATTGTCAGGTGTGTTGACGTGTTGACAGCTCCCGTGGGCACATGTCTAGGTCAACACACCTCAGTCACCCGCCACCTGAGCGGAGGTTAGGTTAGGTTAGGTTAGGTTAGGTTAGGTTAGGTTAAGTTAGGTTAGTAGTTAGGTTAGGTTAGGTTAGGTTAGGTTTAGGTTTAGGTTAGGTTAGGTTTAGGTTAGGTTAGGTTAGCATTCTAAAAGCACTACTATCACCTGTGGTTGATTGTTCAATAAAACACTGAACTATATGTTTGACAGCTCTCTCACCTGTCCATGGAGGACAGAAGACAATGTATGTATGATGGTCAGTAGTAAATGTCTGGCACCGTCTGTGGGGGGAAATAAAATAAAAGATTACAAAAATATCCTCTTTGTTCCTCAGCCTCTCCCGGATAAACTCTAGGGAAGTGTGTCTCCACAGTTCACTATGTGCTGTGGCGGTGCTGGTCAGAGAGATCACTCACCTCACACTCATACTCTCAATAACTATTTTAAATCAACAAGGTAAACAAATATAAAACTCTATGGACTCGGCCTCTCCCACACCCACTGGCAGCCCACTACACCCACCACCACCACCCACTGGCAGCCACTACACCCACCACCATTGGCAGCACTACACCTACTGGCAGCCACCCACTGGCAGCCACTACACCCACCACCACCACCCACTGGCAGCCACTACACCCACCACCACCACCCACTGGCAGCCACTACACCCACACACCACCACTGGCACCACTACAACCCACCACCACCCAGCCACTGGCAGCCACTACACCCACCACCACCCACCACCCCACTGGCAGTCACTACACCCACCACCACCACCCACTGGCAGCCACTACACCCACCACCACCACCCATTGGCAGCCTACTACACCCACCACCACCACCCACTGGCAGCCACTACACCCACCACCACCCACCCACTGGCAGCCACTACACCCACCACCACCACCCACTGGCAGCCACTACACACCCACCACCACCACTGGCAGCCACTACACCCACCACCACCAGCCACTGGCAGCCACTACACCCACCACCACCACCCACTGGCAGCCACTACACCCACCACCAACCACCCACTGCAGCCACTACACCCACCACCACCCACTGGCAGCCACTACACCCACCACCACCACACCACTGGCAGTCACTACACCCCACCACCACCCACTGGCAGGCAGCCACTACACCCACCACCACCACCCACTGGCAGCCACTACAACCCACCCACCACCACCCACTGGCAGCCACTACAGCCACCACCCACCACCACCCACTGGCAGTCACTACACCCCACCACCACCACCACCACTGGCAGCCACTCCACCCACCACCACCAACCATTTGGCAGTCACTACACACCCACCACCACCACCACTGGCAGCCACTACACCCACCACCACCACCCACTGGCAGCCACTACACCACCACCACCACCCACTGGCAGCCACTACACCCACCACCACCACCCACTGGCAGCCACTACACCCACCACCACCCACTGGCAGCCACTACACCCACCACCACCACCCACTGGCAGCCACTACACCCACCACCACCACCCACTGGCAGCCACTACACCCACCACCACCACCCACTGGCAGCCACTACACCCACCACCACCACCCACTGGCAGCCACTACACCCACCACCACCACCCACTGGCCACTACACCCCCACCACCACCCCATGGCAGCCACTACACCCACCATCACAGCCACTGGCAGCCACTACACCCCCACCACCACCACCATTGGCAGCCACTACCAGCCACCCACCACCACCACCCACTGGCAGCCACTACACACCACCACCACCACCCATTGGCAGCCACTACACCCACCCACCACCACCCACTGGCAGCCACTACACCCACCACCACCACCACCCACTGGCAGCCACTACACACCCACCACCACCACCCATTGGCAGCCACTACACCCACCACCACCACCCACTGGCAGCCACTACACCCACCACCACCACCACCCATTGGCAGCCACTACACCCACCACCACCACCCATTGGCAGCCACTACACCCACCACCACCGCCCACTGGCAGCCACTACACCCACCACCACTACCCACTGGCAGTCACTACACCCACCACCACCAGCCACTGGCAGCCACAACACCCACCACCACCACCCATTGGCAGCCACTACACCCACCACCACCACCCATTGGCAGCCACTACACCCACCACCACCACCCATTGGCAGCCACTACACCCCCACCACCACCCATTGGCAGCCACTACACCCACCACCACCGCCCACTGGCAGCCACTACACCCACCACCACCACCCACTGGCAGTCACTACACCCACCACCACCAGCCACTGGCAGCCACTACACCCACCACCACCACCCATTGGCAGCCACTACACCCACCACCACCACCCATTGGCAGCCACTACACCCACCACCACCACCCATTGGCAGCCACTACACCCACCACCACCCACTGGCAGCCACTACACCCACCACCACCCACTGGCAGCCATATCCCGTCATGAGCCACACCAAGGCTCGAGAAATAGAACTTTCGCCTCATAAATTAATGAGCCATCTAGCCTCAAAATACTCCGTGTTAATGTGTCGAGGGCAGAGTGACAGCGTGAGTCCCCCCCACCAGTGTCCTGGGGCCACCTTACCTACATGACACGTCCCCCCCACCAGTGTCCTGGGGCCACCTTACCTACATGACACGTCCCCTCCACCAGTGTCCTGGGGCCACCTTACCTACATGACACGTCCCCCCCACCAGTGTCCTGGGGCCACCTTACCTACGTGACACAGCTTCTGGTATACACAAGTCTCTCCTTACAAACTCTCAACCAATAACAATGAAGTACTTTAACGAAGCATAAGTCAGAGCAGCTAGGTGTTACTAGGTACAAACCCCTTAACACTGGTCCACCTGTCCACCCAAGACCGGCTGGCAGGATGACAACATGGTGGGTAGCGACGCTTACCTACAGTCTGCCCCGCCACACTTACCTACAGCCTGCCCCGCCACACTTACCTACAGCCTGCCCCGCCACACTTACCTACAGCCTGCCCCGCCACACTTACCTACAGCCTGCGCCGCCACACTTACCTACAGCCTGCGCCGCCACACTTACCTGCAGCCTGCGCCGCCACGCTTACCTACAGCCTGCCCCGCCACACTTACCTACAGCCTGCCCCGCCACACTTACCTACAGCCTGCCCCGCCACACTTACCTACAGCCTGCCCCGCCACACTTACCTACAGCCTGCGCCGCCACACTTGCCAACAGCCTGCGCTGCCACACTTGCCAACAGCCTGCGCCGCCACACTTACCAACAGTCTGCGCTGCCACACTTACCTACAGCCTGCGCCGCCACACTTACCTACAGCCTGCCCCGCCACACTTACCTACAGCCTGCGCCGCCACACTTGCCAACAGCCTGCGCTGCCACACTTGCCAACAGCCTGCGCCGCCACACTTACCAACAGTCTGCGCTGCCACACTTACCTACAGCCTGCGCCGCCACACTTACCTACAGCCTGCCTCGCCACACTTACCTACAGCCTGCGCCGCCACACTTACCTACAGCCTGCGCCGCCACACTTACCTACAGCCTGCCCCGACACACTTACCTACAGCCTGCGCCGCCACACTTACCTACAGCCTGCCTCGCCACACTTACCTACAGCCTGCCCCGCCACACTTACCTACAGCCTGCGCCGCCACGCTTACCTACAGCCTGCGCCGCCACACTTACCAACAGCCTGCGCCGCCACACTTACCTACAGCCTGCCTCGCCACACTTACCTACAGCCTGCGCCGCCACACTTACCTACAGCCTGCGCCGCCACACTTACCAACAGCCTGCGCTGCCACACTTGCCTACAGACTGCCTCGCCACACCTACCTACAGACTGCCTCGCCACACTTACCTACAGCCTGCCTCGCCACACTTACCTACAGCCTGCGCCGCCACACTTACCTACAGCCTGCGCCGCCACACTTACCAACAGCCTGCGCCGCCACACTTACCTACAGACTGCCTCGCCACACTTACCTACAGACTGCCTCGCCACACTTACCTACAGCCTGCCTCGCCACACTTACCTACAGCCTGCGCTGCCACACTTACCAACAGCCTGCCCCGCCACACTTACCAACAGCCTGCGCTGCCACACTTACCAACAGCCTGCGCTGCCACACTTACCAACAGCCTGCGCCGCCACACTTACCAACAGCCTGCCCCGCCACACTTACCAACAGCCTGCGCCGCCACACTTACCTACAGCCTGCCTCGCCACACTTACCTACAGCCTGCGCTGCCACACTTACCAACAGCCTGCCCCGCCACACTTACCAACAGCCTGCGCTGCCACACTTGCCAACAGCCTGCGCCGCCACACTTACCAACAGCCTGCCTCGCCACACTTACCAACAGCCTGCCCCGCCACACTTACCAACAGCCTGCGCTGCCACACTTACCAACAGCCTGCGCCGCCACACTTACCAACAGCCTGCCCCGCCACACTTACCAACAGCCTGCGCTGCTACACTTACCAACAGCCTGCGCCGCCACACTTACCAACAGCCTGCGCCGCCACACTTACCAACAGCCTGCGCTGCCACACTTACCAACAGCCTGCTCCGCCACACTTACCATCAGCCTGCGCCGCCACACTTACCAACAGCCTGCGCTGCCACACTTACCAACAGCCTGCGCCGCCACACTTACCAACAGCCTGCGCCGCCACACTTACCAACAGCCTGCGCCGCCACACTTACCAACAGCCTGCGCTGCCACACTTACCAACAGCCTGCCCCGCCACACTTACCAACAGCCTGCGCCGCCACACTTACCAACAGCCTGCGCTGCCACACTTACCTACAGCCTGCGCCGCCACACTTACCAACAGCCTGCGCCGCCACACTTACCTACAGCCTGCGCCCCCACACTTACCAACAGCCTGCGCCGCCACACTTACCAACAGCCTGCGCCGCCACACTTACCAACAGCCTGCGCCGCCACACTTACCAACAGCCTGCGCCGCCACACTTACCAACAGCCTGCGCCGCCACACTTACCAACAGCCTGCGCCGCCACACTTACCAACAGCCTGCGCCGCCACACTTACCAACAGCCTGCGCCGCCACACTTACCTACAGCCTGCGCCCCCACACTTACCAACAGCCTGCGCCGCCACACTTACCAACAGCCTGCGCCGCCACACTTACCTACAGCCTGCGCCGCCACACTTACCAACAGCCTGCCCCGCCACACTTACCAACAGCCTGCGCCCCCACACTTACCAACAGCCTGCGCCGCCACACTTACCAACAGCCTGCGCCGCCACACTTACCAACAGCCTGCGCCGCCACACTTACCAACAGCCTGCGCCGCCACACTTACCAACAGCCTGCGCCGCCACACTTACCAACAGCCTAAGCCGCCACACTTACCAACAGCCTGCGCCGCCACACTTACCTACAGCCTGCGCCCCCACACTTACCAACAGCCTGCGCCGCCACACTTACCAACAGCCTGCGCCGCCACACTTACCTACAGCCTGCGCCGCCACACTTACCAACAGCCTGCGCCGCCACACTTACCTACAGCCTGCGCCCCCACACTTACCAACAGCCTGCGCCGCCACACTTACCAACAGCCTGCGCCGCCACACTTACCTACAGCCTGCGCCCCCACACTTACCAACAGCCTGCGCCGCCACACTTACCAACAGCCTGCGCCGCCACACTTACCTACAGCCTGCGCCGCCACACTTACCAACAGCCTGCGCCGCCACACTTACCTACAGCCTGCGCCGCCACACTTACCAACAGCCTGCGCCGCCACACTTACCTACAGCCTGCGCCGCCACACTTACCTACAGCCTGCGCCGCCACACTTACCAACAGCCTGCGCCGCCACACTTACCAACAGCCTGCGCCGCCATACTTACCAGCAGCCTGCGCCGCCACACTTACCAACAGCCTGCGCCGCCACACTTACCTACAGCCTGCGCCGCCACACTTACCAACAGCCTGCGCCGCCACACTTACCAACAGCCTGCGACGCCACACTTACCAACAGCCTGCCCCGCCACACTTACCAACAGCCTGCGCCGCCACACTTACCAACAGCCTGCGCCGCCACACTTACCAACAGCCTGCGCCGCCACACTTACCTACAGCCTGCGCCGCCACACTTACCAACAGCCTGCGCCGCCACACTTACCTACAGCCTGCGCCGCCACACTTACCAACAGCCTGCGCCGCCACACTTACCAACAGCCTGCGCCGCCACACTTACCAACAGCCTGCGCCGCCACACTTACCAACAGCCTGCGCCGCGTGGGTGGAGGCGGGTCACCACGGGTCAGGGGGGGGGGGGGGGGGGAGTGCCAACAATTACTGGTCGACGGATCGTTGACGACACAAGAGTAAGTTAAGCCTTTAACATGTGACTAATAGTACGACCGCAACACACACTTACACCACACGTTTACACAGGTGTGTGTGGGGTGATAACACACACCAGCACTACACATAACACCATGTTGCTCACCACACCTTCCTCATCAATGGTCATAAGCACTAACATCACTATAACACTATAGCCCCGCAGAGGATTCGAACCCAGGCTGCTACTGGTGCCCTCACCAACCAGCCCGGCCTCATCACCAAGGGCCAAATGCTAGTTAACCCACCCGCCAAACTCACTACTTATGAATGACAAACATTTTACACGCGACTCACGAGGTGATTACTGATGTACTTCTCTCCAACAGCGCCTCGCTCAGTGTTCACACACACGCTCCAACACCAGCCATCATCACCACCTAACCTATACCTAACCTATGCTTAACCTATGCCTAACCTCAGCACCTAACCTATGCCTAACCTCAGCACCTAACCTATGCCTAACCTCAGCACCTAACCTATGCCTAACCTCAGCACCTAACCTATGCCTAACCTCAGCACCTAACCTATGCCTAACCTCAGCACCTAACCTATGCCTAACCTCAGCACCTAACCTATGCCTAACCTCAGCACCTAACCTATGCCTAACCTATGCCTAACCTCAGCACCTAACCTATGCCTAACCTATGCTTAACCTATGCCTAACCTCAGCACCTAACCTATGCCTAACCTCAGCACCTAACCTATGCCTAACCTCAGCACCTAACCTATGCCTAACCTCAGCACCTAACTTATGCCTAACCTCAGCACCTAACCTATGCCTAACCTCAGTACCTAACCTATGCCTAACCTATGCCTAACCTCAGCACCTAACCTCAGCACCTAACCTATGCCTAACCTATGCCTAACCTCAGCACCTAACCTATGCCTAACCTCAGCACCTAACCTATGCCTAACCTCAGCACCTAACCTATGCCTAACCTCAGCACCTAACCTATGCCTAACCTCAGCACCTAACCTATGCCTAACCTATGCCTAACCTCAGCACCTAACCTATGCCTAACCTATGCTTAACCTATGCCTAACCTCAGCACCTAACTTATGCCTAACCTCAGCACCTAACCTATGCCTAACCTCAGTACCTAACCTATGCCTAACCTATGCCTAACCTCAGCACCTAACCTATGCCTAACCTCAGCACCTAACCTATGCCTAACCTCAGCACCTAACCTATGCCTAACCTCAGCACCTAACCTATGCCTAACCTATGCCTAACCTCAGCACCTAACCTATGCCTAACCTCAGCACCTAACCTATGCCTAACCTATGCCTAACCTCAGCACCTAACCTATGCCTAACCTATGCCTAACTATACATCGAAATTTAGTATATATTAACATTATTATATACATGAGAACAAAGCTATTTTCTATACACAATACGTTTTAAATTAATGACTGCGTCTCGGGGTGGGCCGCAGCTTGATGAGCCTGGACTGAGGATGAGTTGCCCCAACAGCACCGGTATCATCACCACTCATCACTCACCACTCATCCCCACTCATCACTCATCGCCACTCATCATCACTCATCGCCACTCATCACCCATCGCCACTCATCACCTCTCATCGCCACTCATCACCCATCGCCACTCATCACCACTCATGCCCTAAATAAATTATTGTGCCTTCAGCCCAACTTCACTTGTTCACATTAATAGTTAAATTTGCTTTTTGTAACACTTCAAATAACTTGTTTAGAGCTGACATGTGATCTTCCCAACACTTACAACACTCTACAATGTCATCCAAGTATGATCTGCAATTTGACACGTCTTTAAGTAAGGAATTCACTCATTTCTGGAAAGTAGCAGGAGCATATCTTAACCCAAAAGGCATGACATTAGACTCATAAGCTCCATCAGGTGTTATGAATGACGTCACTTCCCTAGCGTGGTTAGTTACTGGGATCTGATAATATCCTTTAGGAAGGTCAAGTTTCGACACAAACTGAGCATGACCAATTTGGTCAATACACTCTTCCAATAACGGTAAGGGGAACACATCAACAACTGTTACCTTATTCAATTTCCGATAGTCCACACACAGGAGCCAATTTCTCTCTGGGTTTGGTACTAACAAACAGGGAGAACTGCAAGAACTTCGGCTTGGACGTGTGAATCCATGTTGCAGTAGGAAATCCACCTCCTGTTGTATGTTTCTTCTTCTTTTCTGGAGTCACTCGCTAAAGATGCAGCCGAACAGGAGTGTCGTCAAGCAGTTGGATGTCGTGGGTGATGAGAGGAGTCTGAGTGGGCACCTCCCCAAACAGGCTGGAATGTGTTTCCAGCAGGACCTGGAACTTATCACGCTGCTTCTCCTGCATATGACATAGCAACTCCTGCCTTCCAGAACTGGAACTGAAACAAGGAAGATTAACATCTTTTCCCACATTATAAGCTTCCTCAGGTGGTAACTCCTCCTGACCAAAACAAGCCACAATACCTGGCTCACAATAAGCCTTCAACCGGTTTAAGTGCACAATCATAGACTGTCTGAAAAGGTTAGGATTACACACTTTATAAGATAAATTCCTCAATCTCTCCATAACTTTATAGAGTCCATCAAACTTATGAGACATGGAAGTCCCCACTCGAGGTTTCAACACCAACACTAAATCACCAATATCAAAAGATCTGAACTTTGTCTTTATTTTCTTGTCATGTCGCTCCTTCGTCACCTGCTGAGCCTCCCCCAGATGTTTCAAAGCCAACTCCTTCATGCGACACAACTTACTTTTAACATCACTCAGGGAACGACCACTCTGCTGAACAGATACATCCCCAGGCATCTTCTCTTGAAGCATCTTTAATGGACCTCGGACCTGGTGTCCGAACACGTATCGAAGGGAGATCAACCAAGAGACGTTTGCAACCCTTCTCTTGCTGCAAATAGGACAAAAGGAAGATTTTTGTCCCAATGTCGTGGACAAGTCTCCGCGGTAGTTTTCAGCATTTACTTCAACGTTTGGTGAAAACACTCAATTCTACCTTGACTTTGTGGATGGTAAGGACTAGAAAATTTATGCTGAATTCCATAAGACTCACAAAAAGTTTTAAAACCCGTAGAATAAAAATTGCCTCCATTATCGATTTGATTAACATGAGGCATACCAGATAAGGAGAAAAACCGCTCCAAACACTTACAATGTTTTTAGCCTTAGTATTCTGCAAAGCATACGCCTCGGGACACCTCCTGGTCATGCACATCATGCTGAACATAAACATATTACCCGATTTAGTTCTTGACAAAGTACCCACACATTCCATAACCACATGTGAAAAAGGTTCCTCTGGAACTACAATGGGTTGTAATGATGCTCCTGGCACAGTCTGCTTGGACTTACCCACAGTTTGACATGTAAAATAATTGTGACAGTACCTGACCACATCTCTCTTTAATTTGGGCCAGTAGAAATACTTACAGATCTTATGATACATACTAGTGATACCTTGGTGACCTCCCATAGGGTCATCATGTGCAGCCTGCAAGACATGCTCCTGATAATCACTGGGGACAACCAGCTGGGTCCTCGTCTCACAATCAGCTGGTGAGGGAGCTCCCTTGGGTCTCCATCTTCTCATCAGACGTCGATCCTTGAAAGAGAAACCCGTCCCGTCCTCCAATGTATCTACATTAGCAGCGGCCTCAGCACCACACTCAGATAAACTGGGATCAGTATTCTGCAATGAACTCAAGGTCAAAGACTCAAACTCAGAAGCGAGCAGACAAGTACCGGCAACCTGACAACCTTTCCCAACCCTGTCTGGTTAGAATATAGCGGAGTCATGGCTACTACAGTCTCTTGTTACAGTGCTTCTCTCTCCTATTTCTCCCTCATGCCAGATTTATGAGTCATATCAGCTTACCATGGAGGTTCCCTCAGATTCACGGAGTCTTTTGATGTATGAGGCTACTGAAATGGTTACCAATATATGGAGAAATTTGCATTATAAATATATAGGTAAGGAAGGGAGGTCGTGCCCTAGGAACAACAAAATGGCATCTCCTGTCTGTAAATCCGCCATTTTGTGAGCAACACCAGCCGGATGGTGATTGGCTAGTTGATATCACATGACTTGAATGACCAATCAGAGCCCGCCCCTGGGTCTGTGACGTCACCGGGAGGCCTGGCTCATCGCCTGCAGAGCGCCAAGCGCTCAGATATTTGCGACGCTTCATTGAGAGCGGACGTGCGCTGGTTGAGCTCTCGAGTTGCGAGGTCCTGGAGCCTCATTCAGTGGAATTATACAACCTGACAAGTTTATAGTGACTACCAAGGACTGCAGTACTTCAGGGAAGTGCGAGGAGCCAAGTTCCAGTGGTGTAAGAGCGCCGAGTCTTGGAAGGGTCGAGGGAGTCACTGTGGCGGGAGCAGGATGTGGCTCGCCGTCAGTGGAACTCTCAGATGTGCAGAACTGCTGTGATTGGATCACGCCCACTGGGAACTCAGAAGGGAGAAGAAGCATCCTGATCCATGAGTGAGTGGTCTCGGTGAACGAGTGCTTGAGGGACACGACGTATGCAGTGACGCCTGGACGAGCCAGCGCCCACGAACTTCACTACGGGAGTAAGTACGGAGATGACGAGAGTCTTCACGACGCCTATGGACTGGTGACTCATCTGGAACGTCAAGAAACGACGTGTGAAACTGAGGAATCCCGGCGACCATCGGAGGCCAGGCGTCTGAGGGCAGGACTTGATAAAGTACATAATTTTTCCCCTCCCATATGTCCCTTGATGTTAGGCAAGATAGGCCTATTGTCAAGCTATATCTGGCTCTAGTTAGGCCCCATTTAGATTATGCAGTTCAGTTTTGGTCGCCATATTATAGAATGGATATAAATTCACTTGAACGTGTCCAGCGTAGGATGACTAAGTTAATTCCCCAAATTAGAAATCTTTCATATGAAGAAAGATTAACAAAGCTTAAGTTGCATTCACTGGAAAGGCGAAGAGTTAGGGGTGACATGATAGAGGTTTACAAGTGGGTGAATGGACATAACAAAGGGGATATTAATAGGGTATTAAAAGTATCAACACAAGACAGAACACGAAACAATGGGTATAAATTGGATAAGTTTTGATTTAGGAAAGACTTGGGTAAATACTGCTTCAGTAACAGGGTTGTTGATTTGTGTAACCAATTCCGCGTAACATGCTGGAAGTGGGGTCCCTCGATTGTTTCAAGCGCGGGTTGGACAAGTATATGAGTGGGATTGGGTGGTTATAAATAGGAGCTGCCTCGTATGGGCCAATAGGCCTTCTGCAGTTGCCTTTGTTCTTATGTTATATCTAGGTTTCTGGGAGTCATTAGGAGTAGATTAGGCTATGGGACAGCATGTATATGTTATCTACTGCCTGGTGAAGGCAGCGGGTGGCGTGAGTGGTCAACCTGTGGAGGCTTGTGGACCTATGCTGACGGAGTCGCCCCCCCCCCCCCCACCAGTGAGGGGCCAGTGGTACGTTGAAACTGGATCAGCTGATGCGAGTTGCTGGCGGCAACCAGAGGAGCCCTACTGTCATCATTATCATTTTCATACGAATATATATATCTCATGTGTTTGTAGTTTGCTTTTGAGTAAACTGTATTATTGTATTATTGTTTTTTGTGTCACCTTCATCTCATTGAGCATTGTGAGTAAATGATATATGATTAAACCACACTGGTACTGGCATCACATTGAAGGAGATCCTGGGTTGGCAACACGACATTATATCTTGAATTCTAGTACTGGCCTTATATAGAAAGAGGTCCTAGGCTGTAGATACAATATTACATTCTAACAAGATTGCGTTCCTGGGACGCAGGAAAGATTACTAATAACTCTAATAACATTCTTAATAACTCTAATCCGATTCTAATAACATTATTATTGCAATAATGGAGGGATTAGTAAAGGATTTGGTGAGTCTGGTTGGAGCTCTGAGAGCAGAGATGGATTCCCTGCGGGAGGAGGTACGACGGCTGAGACTTCGGGAGGAAACGAAGGAGGAGGCCAGTGTTGATGGGACCTCATTAAGAAGGACTGACGGCACCAGTATTAAGAAGTCCTCGTCTTGGCAAGTTGTGAAAGACAGGGGTCTTAAGAAGACCTTGGCAAAACCGACAACTAATAGCCTACACCTAAGGACTTTTAACGCATTTGACGTATTAGAGGACGAGTGCTGTGTTGAACCTGTTGTTCAACGTGGTGGCAAAGACAAAGTAACGAGGAGCATTGAAGCGCAGGTCCCTCAAACTGCTCGAAAGGAAAAGGGAGAATCAAAGCGAATTTTGGTTGTGGGAGATTCCCAGGTGAGGTATTTAGACAGAACGTTTTGTGCCAGAGATAGGGGGAACAGATTAAGGGTTTGCTATCCGGGAGCTGGAATTGGTGATATTGTTGGAAACATGAATGATATTATGACAGGAAATGGGAACAAACCCATTATTTGTATTAGTGCAGGGGGTAATGATGTTGGACGAGTTAGGAGTGAGGAACTAATACAGAGATTCAGAACAGCCATTGAATTAGTTAGGAGCAAGGGAGGAATCCCGATCATATGTGGCATTCTTCCAAGAAAGGGAGTGGGAAATGAATGGATGTTGAGGGCAATTGGTGTCAATTGCCGGCTGGAAAGATATTGCAAATCAAATGCAATATCTTTCATAGACAACTGGGAACACTTCTATGGAAGAAATGAAATGTATGCTCGTGATGGGGTGCATCTATCAAGAGCTGGGGTTGTTGCTGTTGCGAACTCGTTGGAAGAAGTGGTTAGAGGTGTTTGTTTGGGT